GGGGGCTCGTACTGGGGTGCGGTAGCTTTGCGTGATGAACTCAGCCATAGAATGGGTCACCCCGATCTTCTTGGAGAGCTGCCTGGGGGTGAGGCCCAGTTCCCGCCACCTGGTCTTGTCGATTTCCATGGTACGCCTCCTTAGCGGTTACCCCATCTTTATGGCCACCTTGGCTCTTGATGTTCTGCAGGGGTCCACAGGGACGAAGGAGCTCTGTGACATCAGAAGCTGCAGAGCTGATGTCATAAGCAGGAGCTGCCCTTCATGCAGGCCATAGATCCTGGAGTGTCATTTCTGTTTAAGCCAAGCCTAGGACATCTTGCTATGACGGGTAAAGCTTTGAAAGCACTAGTCCTCGGAGCCTCGACACGGAAGACACTGACCACAGGGCCCTTGCATTGGGTGATTGGAACAATTTTTGGCTGGGAATCCCTGATGTTGTTTTTGCTATTATGTGCACTCAAATTGCTTCTGACATACAAGGACTTTATGGATTAATAACCGCACTCTCATTCACAGCCCTGCTCAGGCTTTGCAAACTCTAGGGTGTGGCTTCCTTTACTGAGTCACTCAATCTCATATTTGGCTTTCCTCTTTTCCTGTTGCTTTCAACTTTTCCTAGCATCATTGTCTTTTCTAGGAAGGCAACTGCAGCTGCCATAACCTATCATTGAGTCGATGCACATTGGAAATATTCTCAGAGTGGTTGCAGAAGCAAACCTACACTGGTGGAACAAGAAGGATTTTGCCCTGTTGCATGGGAAGAAGACAGGAAGGAGAAAAACCAGCTCAGTTCCATCTGTCGCTCAGAGTGAGAACTGCTGCCAAGCAATGGGCTTTCCTCCCACTGTGCTAGAAAGGACTCTGGCCTGTGACTGCAGATATGGATGGAAACATGGTTTGCTCCCCTTCATCCACTGAAACGCCTGGCACTGTTGGTACGCGATTTGAGATTTACTAAATAGTTGCAATCTTGATAATTAAATGCCTTGCAAAACTCCTCAGGACAAACACATGCCTTTTTTTAAAAAAAAATGTGGCCAAGCTGGCACTTAATTTATTTCTTAGATGTATAGTTAACTTTTTTCTTAAGGTATTCCAAAGTGGCTTCTAATCTCCTGGCACTTAATTTATTTCTTAGATGTATACAGTATTTAACTTTTTTCTTAAAGTATTCCAAAATGGCTTCTAATCTTTGAATTACCTTCCTTGGTGGGCACCCTTCTTTCTACCACCTTGGTGCCAGTTGGTGAGAGGGTGAACTGGTCTAGGTGACAGGTGTTGATCAGATTCTCTCTCTGTGTGTGTCTGTGTGTGCCCTGGAGTCTGTTCATTGACAAACTTCAAAATGTATCAGGTATAAGGAATGGAAAGCCCTCACTAGTTCTGTGAGATCATGGCGGATAATGGTGGACTGACAGAGCACAAATGAGTTCCATGCTCTTAGTTCTTAGTGGTATGCATCCAAGTATACCCAAGTAAAATCGACACAACAAAAGTTATAGTGGAAGTACCAGTACACTGGACGCGCACACATGTACACACAGAGAGACACACAAAATCGAGATTCTGTATGCATGTTCACCATCCAGGCATGAGAGGTGAAGGGACTGCAGTAAAGCATCAGAGAGGCCAGCCATTAAACTTCCCCACAACTGTTTGACACGGCCCAGGGTTACCCATCTGCTGCATAGAACAGGTTCTGTTGATGCCAACATGACCCATTCACCCATGTGCCACTTACATGGGACTGGCAGCACAAGCTTGTTCATTTTTGGTCAGAAGAAATTGCTTTTTCTCAAGCCAGCTGACTGACAATACCATTCAGGGGAACCTGCGAATTTACTTCTGCTGGAACATGCTTGGGCGATCACGGGCTTCAAGCTACTGTCTCTTCATCTGGCCTCCTTCAAAAGGTCACTTTGAAGGTATAAGGAGGAGAACCACGTGTACCAATGTGAGGAAAAGCAGAATATAATAAATAATATTCAAGTGAGGGAAAGAACTACCGCCCCCTCCAGCCGCTTCAATTCTATAAATGATCTCTGGATACGGCAGAATAGAGCACAAAATCCTGGCGAGTTCTCCAGTGAAGCCTACTGAAATTTACTGTCATGCTGCTCTCTCTGTGTGTGTGTGTGTGTGTGTGTGTGGGTGCGCATGTGCAAGTGACTGAACAGGAGAACATCCTAACAAATGTTAATTGTGCCGTGCCCCACATGTAGGTGCACCACACCAAAACATTCCAGAGGCTGGGTAGCTGAAATTTTCTGTCATGCTGCTCTCTCTCTCTCTCTCTCTCTCTCTCTCTCTTTCTCTCTGTGGGTGCTCATGTGCAGGTGACTGAACAGGAGAACATCCTAACAAATGTTGTCTTAATTGTGCCCCACATGTAGGTGCACCACACCAAAACATTCCAGAGGCTGGGTAGATATTTCAGCTCATTTTTTTTTTACATTGGTGGAATGGCTATTACAAGGCATTTCAGCAAGGCCAGCTCCCGTCTGGCTGGCCGAATGTGTGTGGGGCTTTTGTATCATGAAGATTCTTCCCAGGGCTCGAAGAAGCTTTACCCTTGCCATTTTCCATTCTAATGTCACCCGACTGAGAAGTCCTATATGCCATTTCCAAGACTTCCTTTCTACTTACCTTGACTCTGCTGCAGTTACAGCCTTAGATCATCTACCTTTAGGAGGTCTTATGAGGATTAAAGGGGAAAAAAAGGAAATAATCACATGTAGGAACCATAGGCCCTTGGAGAACGGAGGGGATTTAAAGCATGTAACCAAGCAACAATACATGTGACAATGTTCCCTGGAAAAAGTCCCTCTTCTCTGGATGTTCGTAGGGGGAAGCACCAGGAAACAAAAACACAGACGGGGAGAGAGAGAGAAAGAGAGAGAGAGAGAAGCCAGTGGTCAATGATTCCAGGGAGAAGTTTCCTTCCATCAGAGAGAGAAAGAGAGAGAGAGAGAAGCCAGTGGTCAATGATTCCAGGGAGAGGTTTCCTTCCATTCAGTTAAAAAGCACTGTGCAGTTATCTCGACTTTTTTCCTAAATGATTTTCTCAGGTGAAAGAAAAAAAGCCCATGGAGGAATCAAAGAGAAAACACAGCAAGATTGCAAACAGAAGATGCAATTGGACTAAAAAAGCCATTATCTAGTGCTAAAAGAGTACCTTCATATTTCAAACATTTTTTAACTGCAACGGCTGTTCACCCACCACAGTGGGCAAGGCTTTTACGTCTATCGTAATAAAAAACCCCAGAGCACCTCCGAGCTGTTGTGTGCTTCCTTCCAGCCCACAGATATGGCCTCTAGATTTATGGCCAAGGACTGCAGAGTCTTCTGAACCAGTACTGTTGAAATACCTATAAAAGAGAGAACTCCAAATCCCATCAGGTTCTAGGTCCCTTCTATTCGGCACTGGTTAGGCCTCCTCAAGAGTCTTGTATCCTGTTCTGGATGCTGCACTTTAAGAAGGATGCTGTCAAACTGGGGCAAGTTCAGAGGAAGGCAACAAGGATGGTTGTTGTAGGTTTTCCGGGCTCTTTGGCCGTATTCTGAAGGTTGTTCTTCCTAACGTTTTGCCAGTCTCTGTGGCTGGCATCTTCAGAGGACAGCACTCTGTGCTCTGGTGCAGTTTGTTTGGGAGTTGAGTATTTATGGCTGTGAGATCAGCTTTTGTCCTTTTCAGGAGAATGGGTGATTATGGTGATCACTGTGTTTTTGTTGTGGGTGTATTGTTGTGATAAGGAGGAGAGATTATCTGTCACTGTGATTGATGGGTGCACTTTTCAAAGACCTGAAAGATAGTCCTACAGAGGAGGGGCAGGATCTGTTCTTGATCATCCCAGAGTGCAGGACACATAAGAATGGGCTCAAGCTACAGGAAGCCAGATTTAGGTGGAATATCAGGAAACACCTCTTAATTGTAAGAGCAGTACGACAATGGAACCAACGACACTCCAACACTGAAGGCCTTCAAGAGAAAAATGGGCAACCATCTATCAAATATCCTTTGATTTGGCTTTCTGCATTGAGCAGGGGGTTGGACCCGATGGCTTCAGAGGCCTCTTCCGACTCCATTGTTCTATGATATATTTTTAGGTACCTAAAATTAGCTTGGGAATGCATCCACTTAGAATTGATGCCAATGGACCCAAACATCCAAAGTGTCCTGCTTATCCACACAATGGTTTGCATGGGATGTATGAGCTTGTTGTGCAGTCCAGAAAAGCAACACAACTGAGCTGATTCTGCGGAAGAGGGTGGTAGGTCACACCCAGCAGCTGAAAGTCTGAAGAATAGGGAAGGTGAATAGGAAACTGGCCAAGAGGAAAGTCACCGGGAAAAGCCACAGGGAGATTGGAGCCAGAACAGGAAAAGTGCAAACTGCAGAAGTAGTTCTGTGCAAGGGCTCCATAAAAATACAGATGCTCAAAAATAGAAAGCAAAGGGGAGATGCAGGATCATCAAGATCCAGCAGTTGGAAGTAAAGCAGGATCAGGATTTCTAGATCTAAGGGCATGTTCTCTGTTTGTAAATCTGGACTGCATTATATTGTTGTTGTTTCAACTTATATACCACCCCACTGAGCTACAGCACTCTATGGGCAGTTTACAACATAATTATGCAAACAACGATCGCCCCCATGAGCTGGGTACTCAATTTTCTGACCTTGGAAGGACAGAAGGCTGGGTCAAGATTGAGCTGGCTACCTGAATCGATTGGAATCGAACCAATAGATTCAGGTAGCCAGTGAGCAGAGGCTTGACTGCAGTATTGCAGTTTAACCGCCATGTCATAAGCTCAGTGGTTTGACTTTTGTTCCAATTGATTCCAATTTAATTGTTTTAATTTAAAAAAAAAACTGTAAAATTAAGGAAGCAGCATAAAGTTCCTCATGTTACCTTTAAAAAAAGAGAAAAGAAATGGAAGCATTAAAAAAAACACCCTCTCACAAGTAGTAAAGGTTTAAAGAGGCTGAAGGACATCTCTTTAGAAGTACGAGAAAGTGTATTTATTACATCGTTACAACAGACAGCTCCTGTAAGCTTGGCAGTCTCTCCATCAAATTTGGGTCTGTACATTCAGACCTCTGTGCTGGTCAACCTGCACTGTGGAGTTTCTCAAGGAAAACGTCTGCCATAAATTTGTATATCCCAGCATTATTTTAAACCTTAAAGCCTCCAGGATTGGGGGCAGGGAGAGGGGTGGGGAGCAGTGAAGACAATAATAATAATAATAATAATAAAATCAAACCATAAATGGAAGCTGCAAAGAAATTAGTCCTGGAGACACTGCTCATGAAACAAAAGAGGCACAGAAATTGACTTTTTTTTTTAAATGAAAGAACTCAAACACTCCCCACCCCCCCGAGCCTAGTCCGTATAAGCGGCTGGCAGCACCTTTATTTCTGAGTGAGTGTTTCACACTCTGAGGTGTACTGTGTATTTCTCTTCCCAGTCTATTTGAATTTTCTCCATGGATGTCTTTTTTCCTCTCTCTCTCTTTAGTTTATTTATTTATTTATTTTTTGCCAACAGCAGACATCTGCCCCTTCCGTTGACCGAAGGCTTGTTCTCCATGATGGTAGGCTTAGGGCGACCGGGCATCACTTCCGCGTATGCAGTGTGTCCTGGAATTTGGTACTTGTGTAGCGTAGATGGAAACCTTTCTTGTTGATGGTATCGTCCGAGTGGAACCTTACCATCACGGAGTCACCGGCAGAGTAGAACTCTTCGGGAGGCTAGAAAGAAGAACGCGTCAAGAGAAAGACAAGAGTGTAAACTCACCCAGGAAGATAGGATGGGCCCTTAACTTGTAGAGATAAGATGAGGCAAGCTTGTCCCATCCCCCCCAACTCCAAAGTCAGAGCTTGGTACAAAGAAAACCAAAATGAGGTGCCCAGAATGAGATGTGCTGCAGGAAGCGAAATTGGCAACAGGGACCCGAGGGACCGAGAAGAGAGATAAAGCTTCTGTGTGGAGCAGGAGGGGCAGAGAGGGGCTTCCAGCCTCCTCACTCAGCTATCATCCTGAGCAGAAATGGGGAAAGTTCCTTGAACGACCCCGCACCGCTTAGCCAGTGGCCGTGGTGGATGGGATTTTCTAGTAGGTGGCATCCTAAAGAGTGTTCATGACAGAGGACACAAAGTCTTTCAAATGGGATTTCGTGTTACAGGATGTGGTGGTGGTGGGCATCAGCTTAGATGGTCTTAAAAAAAAAAAAAGGACTGCACAAATGACCGGGATAGCCGAACAATTGTAGGCCAAAAAGGTAACTTTCTCCCTCTCTGGTCTTGAGGCTCTCCACTTAAAAAGGGCCAAAGAAAGTCCATGTTATTGGAAATAAATACAGTAAGTATTAATTGCATGCCGTCAAGTCAGTTCCGACGTATGATGATCCTTTTCAGGATCTCTCAGGTAGAGAAGACTCAGAAGTCGTTTTCCCATTCCCTTCCTCTAGGGGGAGCTCTGGGACTGTGTGCAGCTGGCCCAAGGCTACCCAGGCTGGTTCTTCTCTCAGGAGGCATAAATGGGGAATCGAACTCCCAACCTCTGGGCTCTTAAATCACTGTGTCAGCCAGTGGCAGGCAGAGGAGAAAGAAGAGAAGCATGGAGAAGAAGCCGCTTACCCCAGAGCCACAGTAGCGTCCCAGACGTGGGGCCGTGCTATCATAGCCGTCAAATATCTCTAGGTAGTCATAACCGCAGTCGGCTTCTTCCTCGATCTCAAACGTCTGGAAGATGAGCTCAACGCCGTAGCCTTCCTCGGCTACAATGACCCAATCGCAGTCGGAGCCCCCGGGGTAGTTATTATCTCCAAACTGGGCATGTGAATAGAGATCCTTGGTTTTCACTTCAGCTCTCAGCAGACCCCCACATTCTGGAAAGAAGAAAACACACACAGGAAAAATCTTGGGTTCCTCCTCGGCCACCCAGTGAGAAATAACCATATCCTTTCATGCGGTGGGTTAAGCAGCACCAGTAAGAGAAGGGACACTATACTTTCCTTGTATCAAAAGAGCTGGGTTTTGCTAATGTCACCTCTTGGCTAGGTTTCCAGAAGGGGAAAGTAGCAGAGAAGATAGGAAGGCATTGTTATCACAGATCAGACCCTTTGACTCTTGTCTAGCCCAGAGGTCCTCAAACTGGGGTCCCCAGAGGTTCTTGGACTGCAACTCCCAGAAACCCTGGCCAGGGCAACAAGTGGTGAAGGCTTCTGGAAACTGCAGTCCAAGAACAAATGGGTCACACAAGGTTGGGAGCCGCTGGCCTAGTCTATTGTTCTACCTCAATTGGGCAAATGTCTTGTCAATGGTGCCTTTTTAAACTAGAGAGACCGGAAATTCAATAAGGGATGTTGTGCATGCATTATCCAAAGGGCTGTCTTGTCTCGTGATGAACTGGTCGGAGTGCTAAGATTTTCAGAAGGATGGAGGCCACCTGGATGGCATGTGAAGAAGGGCTTTTTAGTGTGTTGCTCCCAAAGTGGAATATAATCCCTTGAGAACTGCAAGAGTTTCCCCATTCCTAATTTTGCTTTTAGTGACCCGAGCACCTTAAGTCGTTGTGATATTTGTGTTGAAGAGGTGGAAGAGAGATGTGTGGGGGTGTCCCTTGTGTACCGCCAGTATTATCTGGAATACTAGGCACATCTGAGGCACCACCCTTCTCAGTGGCTTTAAGGCCCAGAGGCAGCGATCAGCCAACAGGGACCGCTGTGGTTTAGGGCTATGGCAGAGCAACGAGCCAACAGGGAGTGTTACCTGATGTGTAGGTTGCCTCAAAGCCTTTCTTTTGGACGGAGTTATCTGAGAAAAACCTGAGGAACATCCTGTTGCTGGAAGATATCAAGGGCTCTGGTTTTTTAGTTCCACAGAAGCGATCCAAGACTGGAGCTTTGGTGTCTTTTCCATTATAGACCTCCAGGTGGTCATAAGTGCATTCTTGGTGGCCTTCAATGTCCAACTCCCTAAGGATCTGAAAAAGACAACTTGCTGAAAAACAACGGCAGGAAACACAGGCAAGATTTCTCCTGGTCAGCAATTAGATCTACCAGAGAACCACGTTGATTCAGAAGATGGTGAGTTCTAGAACCTCTTGGCACATCACTTTTCAACTGGAAAGCCTAAATACTGTAAAGGACGAGATGGAGCCCCCAGGCTGACAGCTAAGAGTACTCCAGACAGCTTCACATGCTCACTTAAAAACAGGAAATCAGACAGACATTTTGAGAGGCACAAATGATTTCCCTCCAAGAAACATCTGGAAAGTATGTTTTTCAACCATGTTACACTGGGTGACTTGATTTCCTGCATTATCGCTGGCCCATGGTTGCCCATTCTGCTCAAGTATGCAAAAAGCTTGTGTCCTTCTGTTGAGGATGTTGTTGTTGTTACCTGTTAAGCTGGAACCAACTTATAGCGATCCTAACAGGGCTTCCAAGTATAGTGAGATATTTAAGGACTGGTTTTACCAGTTCCACTCCCCCAGTCAGTTTCCATGGCTAAGCCTGTTCTCTAGAGTCCTAGTCCATCATTCTAGCCACTACACTACACTGGCAACCCCAGTGATCAAGGAACCTAACTTTCAACTCCAGAATGTCACTGTCATGATCGGAGATGGGCATGAATCAGCAGTTTGGTGGTTCCTGCCCATTCATGGGCATGAACCAGCAGTTTGGTGGTTCCTGCCCATTCATTTATTGGCTGAACAGGTGTTCAGCGCTTCCTAGCTCTGCCTCCTCTGGGCACTGCCTCCGACTGGGCACCTGCTGGAGGAGGCAGGGCTGGGAATGCTTCAGAGGTCTTTTTCTTGTTACATTTTAATTTTGTTACAATCAGCAGAGGGCTCCCCTTCCCTCTGTTCACGTTTTGCAGTATCAGTTATCGATCCATGGGATCGGTAAGCGAAACACTTACCGGGCTTCGCAAAGCGAATTTTTCCCTATGGGAACAACGTTGTGCGATCGCATTAGCGATCCGAAAAAACGGATCGCTATGCGATTTAATTGTTATACGGTGCGCTCGTTAAGCGAGGCACCACTGTAGCTTGGAAGCCTATTAAGATATGCATTGTAATGGTCTTCTCTCCTACACATTACCAGTTTGATACGGTGTCCGGGGGTGGTAGAGATCGCCCAGGTGCACTCCTTCTTGCTTGGGTACTTATCTGGCCAGTTTGGGCTGGTGATGGTACCACTGGTGGCGAGCATCTTGTGATCACAGCCAGCTGTAAGAAGCAAGATGTATTTAAACCCATTTGCCCGAAAGATGGCTTTATAAATCTGTTTTAACTTGCTGTTTCCAACCGATGTACGATCAACATAGAGAGATATTACAGAGAAATATGGTCTCAAAGAAACACAGGAGCCTGTTTTGTAAAGTCAGGCGGTTTACCCTCCCAGCCTAGTATTGCCTTCTATCGTTTTTGAAGTCTCGGGCAGGGGTCTTTCAAAATACTTGCAATTTTTTAAATTGGAGACTCCAGGGACTAAGTCAGGAGCCATCAGCAGGCCAAGCAAGGGCGCTGCCACTAAACAATGGTTCCTCCACAAAACTGAGATGTAATGTGAAACAATCCAGTGTTTTCATAAATAGTATCAAACATTTTTATAACATGCAAAGTGCCATCAGTCTTGGCCTTGTTTGTCTATACAGTAATCCTCTGATAATCACTTCTGTTTTTATAGGAGGGAAGCTGGACAAGAACAATAAGTGCTTTCATATCATGGGGTGGGAACATCTCCAGCTGTCTCGAACTACAATTCCCACCCTCCGACGCAGAAGGGCCAATAGTAAGAGACGGTTGGGGGTGTAATCCAAAACCTCTGGGAGGCAAAAGTTGCCTAGTCTTGCTCTAAATACTGGGGTTTAAGAAGCACCATGCACAAAGGACCCCTCTCACATACCATCTGCCCTCAGCGCCCCAACTTGTTATTGTTGTTGTTTCAACTTATCTACCACCCCACATCACTAAAGCAGTGGTTCTCAAACTTGGGCCCCCAGATGTTCTTGGACTGCAACTCTCAGAAATCCTGGCCAGCACAGCAGGTGGTGAAGGTTTCTTGGAATTGCAGTCCAAGAACATCTGGAGAGCCCAGTTTGAGTACCGCTGGACTAAAGTACTCTTTGGGTGGTTTACAACATCATTACGCAAACAGCACTCATTTTATCAACCTCAGAAAGCTGGAAGGCTGAGTTGAGCTTGAGTTGGCCACCTGACTTGGTCAGGATTGAACTCAAGTTCAACTTGACTGCAGTACAGCAGTTTAACCACTGTGCCATGAGTTAAACTTTAGCTCTAGCCAGTGGGCATTCTTTTATCAGCCAAAATATCTAAGTGCAACATCTGTGTTCGGAGACAATATATATCTCCTTTGACTGACTGACAATGAGGAAGAATTTTCCCATTATCTACTACTGGTCACACACACACACACACACACACACACACACACACACACACACACACACACACACACACACACACACACACACACAAACGCTTCTTGACGGTTAGTTCAAGACATACAATGCAAGACTAGCCACCTTCATGCATATATACGACAATCTCACACACACACACACACACCCCTTGACGGTTAGTTCGAGACATACAATGCAAGACTAGCCACTTGCATGCATATATATGACAATCTCTCTCTCTTCCTGTGTATGTGTGTGCTTTCAAGAAAGGATGGTACCACTGGCATGTGGCGATCTACATGGCTCTCAGCTTTTCTTCCAGACAACCAGATCACCCACCTTCTTTGCAGTCGTGCTTGTTGTCATGCAACACAAAACCACTGCGGCACTGGCACTCGTAGCTGCCAAAAGTGTTCAGGCAGTCATGCTGGCATCCACCATTATCCTTGGAACATTCATCTATGTCTAGGAAAGAAAACATCACTTGTTGAGCAGTCTGCCCCCTACTGAAGAACTTCATTACTGCAGGCACCTGGACCAGCTAATTAATTTGGAAATGGTCAACTTCGTAGATCTATTAGTGGTATGATTTCTGCATGATATGAGCTCTTTTAAAACCTATCTCTCGGAGTCCCTTGAAAAATAAAACTCAGTAAAACCTGGGAACCATTTATGCAATCAGCAAAACAGAAAGGCAGAATTTCCCCCAACTCTACTAATGTACAGGTAGTGAAAGCGTGAATCTTTCCTCCATCCAGAAATTCCCTGCATATAGCAAAGTAGCAAGTCAGGAGAAGTTCCGTCTAGTTCCCCCCCTCCCCATCATTTTCTTACCTAATTCTGCTGATCACGTAAACTCGCCCTTCCATATTAGTGCTCATCTGTTCCTTGGGCGAGGACAGGCTCAGCTAATGATCAAATCAGACAGTCTTAGAATAGAACCACAAGGTTCCTGCAACTTCCTGGCCTTTTCTTAAAATATTTAAGTCTTGATTTATAAGACAGGCGCTGAAGCGACAGGCTCCTCTTAAGCTCAACAGCATCCAAAGGTATGGCGTTACCTCTGGATCAGTCTCCCAGTAGCTTAAATAGGGATTCGGCAACACAGCAGCAGTGATCATGAAAAAGGAAAGCCAAGCCATAATGCTGGCCAGTTCTAACTCTGCAAACAGCCAACGTCACACAGCAGATACAGAGTGGGCATAACCATTACCTGCTTACTGAACAGATGAGGAGCGAGTGGAAAAACGAGACACACAGACAAGAAGAAGATGCAGGAAAGAGACTAGGACCTGATGTCCCTCTTTACTTATCAATAGAAAATGTCACAGACACAATTTTTTTTTTAAAAAAAAATGCAAAACAAAGTCGGCTGGTCAATGACAAACCACTGGAATCTAAAAACAAACAGGGAATTGTTATTACTTTTTTAAAAAATAGACTAGCGATCAGTTCAGTCAAATAAGGAACTTTGAGACGTCCATTGGGGGAATTGAACCGGCTGTGCCCTCAATGGCCAGAGCTCCAAGCGTAGCTTTGGAACCTAGGCAAGGAGCTTCTCCTTGTCCTGTTGGGAAGGGGAGGGGGGACCAAAGGAGATGAGTGGAATGGTTCCTTTGGAAGTGCGAGAGAGTTCCTGAGAATCAAAGGCAAGCACAGCCCAGTTCAGGAAGGGCCCTGGGTTCGCTTCTTCAACCGGAATTTCAAGCCCGGGGGACGTATTTTTGGCAGATGGTTCTTTTCTGAAACGAGAGAAGGGAAAAAAGATGGAGAAGCAGTGAGAGGAAAAGGAGGCCACTCAGTTGCACCAGGGGACAGGGGTGGGTGAGAATAAATCTACTTTTTAAATAAACAGATGGAGGGGCATGCAGTGAGAGAGGCCATACTCTTACAATACATATCAGAAACAGCCAAATTAAGAGGAAGCTAAGGGACAGAAAGGGACGCAGCTGCAGGACAGAGACTGCATAAGGAAGCAACATTAAACTCAAGTAGAAGCTGGAGGGGGGGAGTCATCATCACCTGATTCAAGATACGTAAGCTATCATTTTAGGACTTTCAGATGAGCGAAAACTGATGGCTAGTCAATCAAGATCACCTTTGTCTGAACGATCCAGCTAACTGTTTGGAGCAGAGTCAGGCTTGGGACCCGGGAAGGATTTTATCCAAGCCCCAAGAAAACTCCGTCTAGTTTGCATCAGAGTCCCCCATGTCCACCGGACATTTCTTTATAAGACTATTCGGAAGTCTTGGCCAAGGAGCTTGGACGTCCATGTCCAAAACTGGGCCTAGCCACACACAGAGAACTGGGATTTCCAGGGTTTCATCTGAGAGCTTACCAGATCGCTTCCAAGATCCTATGAATTAACTGTAGTATCGAGCAGTTAAGGCAGATACAACCTGAAGCAGAAAAAGTGCTATTTGGGAGGTCTCCTTCCACTCAGAAGTCTAGTTGCAGTGGGTTTAAAAATGGACTGGGACGAGGCTGAATATCAAGATGGCGAAAGCTTCTGTAATACTGTTTGTAGCTCTAGAACAATAGTTCCCAAGAGCTTGGGTCACCCAGGACTACAACTCCCAGAAGCCTTCACCACCAGCTGTGCTAGCCTAGGTTTCTGGAAGGTGCAGTCCAAGAACACCTGGTTGACTCAAGGTTGGGAACTATTGCTCTAGAGTTCTCTGTGGGCAGTACGGTAGCTCAACAACGGATGAAACTGCTCTCATCACCTTATAGGTTTTCACAGAAGACTGAGAGGAGCATCTCACTTTCCTCTGTATCTGTACTCTAGACAAATATTTGTACCTTTATTTCACCTATAATATATACTCAGTCCTATCCACTGAGCCTTGAACTGCGGAATTGGTTATCTCGCCTCTTCCCCTGCCTGATTGCATGGATTTCTTGCTTCTTTTTCAGTGTCGGAGGTATGTGTGTCTGAAATTGCAAGCTATGCTGCCTCCTGGGATTCGTTGGGCTAGGATGACCTTCCTGAGTTTACATCTCCTAGAAACCTGATCATCTAGAAAGGCCACAAGGGTCTAAATGCAGCAAACTGTGGGCAGATCTGAGAATTAAAATGAAATCCGAAGGCTGCACTGGATGAGACACCAGAGATCTATGACACCCCCTTGTTTATTATTAATTTTTTTAAAGTTCAAGACAGCCACAGAGCATTCCCAGACTGGATTTGGGAAGAGATGCTGGAGAACGAGGTATTCAACCCTTTCTGCCGGATTCCTTTTCCCAATGTAAATGGCTCCCTGGAGCGGTTACTTGCTCCACACATGCACAGAAGCTGGATGTTTTCTCCAGAGGCGGCAAAAAGCAGCTTCAGGTGAGAGTGTCAAATCGGATCTCAAACCTAGGGCAGCAGAAAAAGGTGAACACTCTCCCTCCCCAGACGGATTTGCCCTCTCCATTCACTCCATGGTTCAGAATGCAAGACAAGAAGAGAAAGCCATAAAAGATCTGACTGGGTCTAAAGGTGATAGTAAAGGCTACAGGAAGCCGGATTCAGGCTGAATATTAGGAAAAACTTCCTAACTGTTAGAGTAGTAGGACCATGGAACCAGTTACCTCGGGGCGGGGGGAGAGTGCTCCAACACTGGAGGCCTTCAAGAGAAAACTGGGCTACCCTCTGTCAGATCTGCCTTGATTTGGATTCCTGCCTCAAGCAGAGAGTTAGACTTGATGGCCTTATAGGTCCCTTCTCATTCCATTATTCTACGATTCTGTGACTCTATGATTCTTTACTCTTTGACCTTCTGTGGCATTGGAAACAAATCCACCAAGCAAACTGAGATTGTCTTTGGCACCCTATCTAGCATCTGAGCAATACATTTTGCTCACATCAGCCACAAGGCTGGAGCAATTACAGTTTTGCCATTCATTCCTGACTTCTAAGTTTCTCCTGAAGTGTCTTGCTATGGCTGCCCCTTCCGACTCCTCCTTGCACGATCCTCTGATCACATACACACTGCAGATGTATTCACATTTGTACCACCCTCGACTCCTCCTTGCACGATCCTCTGATCACACACACACTGCAGATGTAATTCACATTTGTACCACCCTCTCTCTCTCTCTCTCTCTTTTTTCTTTTCTTTTCGGCAGGACAAGGAGAAGCAGAAATGCTTCCTTCTCCCTCCTCCTTCCTGAAAACCTGTGTCAGCTTTTTTTGGGTGTGTGTGTGTGGGATGCCATGTGCAAGCAGGCCTACCCACTTGGATGAGGAGGTCTGCTGGTGGAGATCCCTCCAAGGCAGATGCTCCGATGCGCCTCTGTGCTCTCTCGTTACGTGACTTGATGCAGGATAATAAAACCCGATGCTGCCTTTTAAACTTGTGGCATTTTGCAGCCAGATTTGTCACTGTTGGACCTATCGAAAGCCAGTTTAACTTTTCAAATTGGGATTTTAGCTGTTGAATACAGGAGACCGTGGATGAAGACTTTGTTCTCAGAAGGACCCTGACATTTGCACACACTCTTAAACTGGGCACCTTGATCCCAAAGTACAGCAGCACACAAAAGGAAGCTCCAGGCAGACTGCGTCTCTGAATCACAGCCAAACAAAAGCACAGCTACTTGTATACAGCGACTTATGTGCAAAAAACCCCAACAACGTCATAATCCTTGACCCCGCGCTGAGTTAGGAAGCTTGTTGAAAAAATATATAGTTTGACAGCTGCCTAAGCATTATTCCAGGACAGAACAAGGACTTAAAGAGAGACCTTACCTCAAGGCTGAGTTTGTGAGCCTGCATGTTGACCAGGCTTCCTTCCTGATGAACCACCAGGCAAAGAGATTTAGGTGCCTGCAGGATTTTTCAGTAGCTCGTGCATTTCTTGGCCAGCAGAAGCAGTATAGCATCACTTGCTTCCCACCCACCCACCATCATCCTGTTGGCCTTGTGCCTTTTGCTGGACGAGTGGGTTTTACTCAATAGGATTAATTCCCCACACTAGCCCGTTGTTCTTTGGGGAAGACTCGGCAGGCATCCGTTCTGTGCCCGGCAGCTCCCTCTGTTTTAGTATCACTTCTGACTCCGTTTGTTGTGAAGAAAAAGGTGGCTTCACAGCCAGAAAATGTGAGAGGAAATGTTTTTTCTCTCTGCTAGGATTAAAGGGAACTGAAACACTGTCTGGTTCTTCTGCCATACGAGCTCCAGGACTTTAAGAGTGTTCAGGAGCAAATTCTCAGTTATGGAGGGTTATAGGGCTACACGGGCTCATGGACGCTACGGACAGAGGTGAAAATCAGCTTTGGAAGGGAATCCAACTAAGGCGTTGTCCTCCAGCTTGAGATTTGCAGAGATGCTGCTGTGGCCTGTGTGAGACAGAAGGGAAGAGACTGATTTACAGCTTTTTGTAAGACGTGCCTTGTCAGCCTTTCCAGAGACAAGATTTATTTTACTTATTGAGGCAATTCAGCCAGATAGGTTCAATGATAGCACCCAGGATCTTAT